GATTTTATTATGAAAGGAAAAAATATATTACTATATTATTGATTTCCAAAATCTCAAATTAATTAGTTAAACCTTTTTGAGTCGTTAAATTAGAAAAAGAAAATCCCTTTTAAGTCTTTAAAATTTAATTTTGACTCTTTTTTAATCCCTTGTTTGTTAAGTGCTGATGTTGTTACTCTTGATTTTGATGGATTTAAAACAAAATATGAATGGGAATATATGCTTGGCTTATTTTTAGTGATGCTGATATGATTTTCATAAAGGGTGGTGCTATAAGGATAACTTTTTTATACTACTTTTTTATACTACTTTTTTATGCAACTTTCATATGTCATTAAATGAATAGATGCATTCAATATCATCGATCTCATATAAATTAAAAAAACTAATCATTTAAATGATACATCAGATTGTCCCAAAAAGTGAAACAAAAAGGTTGTCCCAAAAAGTAGTACAAAAAATTGCCCAAAAAATGGTACAAAAAAATTGTCCCAAAATCATTTCCCTTTCATAAATTCTCCAATATTGTATTTGAATATGTTTCCTTTTATATTGAAAATTAAACCTATTTAATTGTATGATTACCTATTCAATTTATTTCCTTTTATGGTGAATAACAAAAAACAAAAACTGCAATTTGGATTGAGATTCCAATTTGAAATCGCTGATGATTCTATTTTTGGGTGGATTTGCAAAGGATTCTCCAAGTTCCAACCCCCAAAAATTAGGGTGCAGATCCATGAGACTTATTGTCCAATGAATAATGAAGTAGAGGTTCCAACCTCTAAAGGCAAGTTCCAATCCCTCATGCTGAAGAGTTTAAATAACTTACCATATTTGGGTTATATTCTTTCCAATCATGTTGCAACAGTCACAATCCTTTGATTGAGCAATTTTAAAGCATAAAAATTAGACATTGAAACAAAGAAGTATATAAAAGAAGAAGAGCTTTCAACCTTAGAAACAAAAAGAGATTGAGCTTCCACTTTTGATAGAGCAATTTTAAGGCATAAACATTAGACATTGAAGCAGAGAAGTACATAGAAGAAGAAGAGCTTTCAGCCTTAGAAACAAAGAGAGATTGAGCTTCCACTTTTGTTCTTTGAGAAATCAACTCTTCTATATGCTTGCTCTTGTTTTCTTTCATTGTAACAAGTGAGAGGGATTGGGAAACCTTGTTACTTCAAAAAATCCATCTTTGAGCTATAGGAAGGGTTAAGAGATTTGTCACAAGGGGATTGAACAGTTCAATAGCACCAATAAGCTATTGGGAAAGTGATTAGGTAACTTTGTTAGATTTAGAGAAAACCATCCTTGTGATGTAGGATCGGATTTGTGAGAGATTATAACAAAGCGTTACATTGTTGAAGGTGGATAGTGTTAATAAAACTATTGCAAATGATTGCCTCTACACTTGAAAGTTGGAAGAGAGCTTTTGAATATAAAGCAAACTCTCAATCATGTGGCTTGAAAAGTGAATTAGGCATAAATTGTGATCGAATCACTATAAATCCTTGTGTTTGAGTTTTTTTTTTTCCTTAACTTTTAATTTCTGCACTTTAAATTATTTGTTTGCAATTATTTGTGAGTATTCATTTTTTTGTGCTTAAATATTGCATAAAATTTTTATAAACTTGATTCACTCCCTCTTTTGGGTTGCCATTGTCTAGGCCAACAGATGTGATATTCTTTTTCATTAAGTATTTTACACTTTTAACTATGAATATTACCATGAAAATTCGAACGGTACATTTTAAAGAAATTAAGTTCATATGTGCCCTACACGGATGGATTAATCGCCCAATATTTAAATTTAAGAAATTAAAATCTTAAATTAAAGCAAAAGATCCAACTACGCTACGCGTTGATCTCCACAAATACCAAAAGTAATACATTGGATATGGAAATGAAGTATTAAAGATGGACATGTAGATTTTCTTGTATAAAGGTCATAATACTTTTAACGTTTACCATTATGAAGAAGATGAGGTTTGTGACATAGAATTGGAATTATCACTCTGGTTTTTGGGGTCCGCATGGTTGAGTAAGATTAGCTCTAAGCATGGGGATTGAGGGGTAATTAATTAATATTTATTGTTAAAGTAAATTTGCAAAGGCAGTTTGGCATAAATTTCTCCCAGGGAAGGTCAGTGTCTTTGCGTGGAGAATGTTTTTGAATAGGTTACCAACTAAGTCAACCCTGCTCCGACGAGGAATTCAAGTGGAGGGAGCCAATGCAAGATGCTCGCTTGCTGTGTAATGAAGAAGAAGAGGACGTGGATCATCTTTTCCTCAAATATGCTCTTATGCCTACCAGGTGATTGCATGGTGGAACTTACAGTCGGCTATTGCTGGAAGTGCGCAGGAAGCATCTAGTTCTAGACAGCTTGCACATATGGTTGGCGAAGTGAATACGTTGGAGATGTGTATGGACCATTTTGTTTATTGCAGTAGCTTGGCATTTTTGGGGAGGTCGGAACCCACTAATCCTTAAGGAGGAAGAGACATCAGCTGATATATAGATTATTGGAGCTGATTCAAATCAAATCTTTTTTTGTGGATAAAAGGTAGATCCATAGGCTGTTGGTTCTCATTATACGAGTGGAATTGTCATCCAATTTTATGTGCAAGTTCAGTAGATTAGTACTCATGGGATACGCTCATGTGATTAGTCTGTGCTATTTTATTTTGTGGATGGTTGGACAATATATAGTTATTAAAAACAATATTCTTAAAATTTATTTTTTGACCATCAAAAAAATATTTATTGTTAGAGTGTTCTAAATATTTAATAATTTTTCATATATTAATGCAAGACATTGAGGGTAATATTTGTATATTAAATAGAAAGTGAGAGAATCCACGTTGATAACATTTGTTCGAACTTTCCTTATACTTATTTTTTACTAAATACAAACTTGTTTTATGTTTTAATTAATTAAAAGTCTTTTTTTAGTTTCTCTAATTAAGAAAATATTTTTTCAGTTTTAAAATTTATTTTTCATGTTTTTTAGTCTTTTCATTACTTTTTACATATTAACGCATTAAATGAAAAAAATTTTAAAATAAAGAAATTAAAAATGACTAAAAAAAAAGTTCATTTTTGGTCATCCATTAAAAAAAAAAACTCTTTTTAGTTCTCTTATTTTAAAATTTTTATCATTTAACAATCTATGTGTGCAAAAAAATAATAAAAGGATTAAAAAGAAGCAGAATAATAAATTTTAGGAATTAAAAAGATGATTTCTTAAATAGATGAACTAAAAAAAAAGACTTCTATTCAAGTAGAGAGATTAAAATACAATTTTAACTAAAAAGTTAATAACTTAATAAAATTTCATAAAAAAACTTATCAACTTTCCATATTTGACTTATTAACTTTTTATATAATACTTTTTAACTACTTTTTCAATAATTTTTTTTAATAAAGTTGATTTTTTAACCAAACAACTCAAAAGGGATTGTCGGAACTTAAAATGACAGTTTTAATATTGTTTATTTTTTTAATTTAAAAAAATAAAAGGACTAAGTCTCTTTAATTAATTTTTTTTTGAACATGAGAAATGGAGAATTTTTTAAGTAGTTGGTGAGAGTTAAACTTTCAACTAACTAAACCTAAATATTAAAATTTAGGTACGAATAGCTAAACCTAAAATTTAGATTCAAGTCTCTTTAAAATTTGAAAAGTTAATATACTAAGCTAATAATATAGTAAGCTGAAATTGACCAATCTCTTTGCCTTTCATATCAGTTACTTAAGCTGGAACTAATGGATGTCAGATAAAATTAACAAAGACTGTTAACAAGAGGGCTAATTTGGACCAATAAGTATGGTTCTAGGGCTTTTATGTTTGTTTTTTAGTCCAAGTGCCTAGTGCTAAAAAAGGGAAAGTTAAATGGCCTATGATATAGTTTTGCCTTCATAATTTTTTTCATTCTTTATTTTATTTTTCCTATTTTTTTCTCTTCTACGACTATCGCGTTTCGCCGTCTCCTCTTCCGTCTCTTTCTCCCTCACAAATCCGAACAAATTCTCCTGGCAATGCTCCGGCCATCATTCACGGCATCGTCGCAGCAGCAACTTCTTCGAAAGCTTAGCATCTTTTTTGAGTAGTAGCATCACTAGGTAAGATTTCTCTCTATCTTCATCTCTCTCTTCTATAGTATTCTTCCTCTAGGGTTTTCACCTTCTTAATGTCATACTCAAAATCCAACTTTCATGAATCAAAACAGTGTTTTGTGGAGGTTATCGGAGCTGGTAATTGGGACTTCTCAAGAATTGACGGAAATTTTTGGTCAAATACTCACCTAGAAGCCTGGTTTTGGGGATACAATTTCCTTCGGCTTTTCTATTGAATGGCTACAGCAAAGGCACTGGATGCCCCAGGTATTAATTTCAATGTCTATGCAACAGAGATACATGGTTCTTTTGTTTAAAAGCTAATAGAAATTAGATAATCCTGTCTTGGAGTGTCTTTTGGAGACTTGAGGATCTCCTTTAGTTCTCTTGGTAGTCTGTTAACTTACTTAAATTTAAAAATTTTAAGAATCCAAACTGTAAATCCGTGAGTTGATGGACCTTATATG